TTTTAGATAGACACTGACTCTTTCTTTTTCTTCTCTTGTTAATAGTAATTTTCATTAGGTATAAACTTAGTAGACTTGTTGGAAAGGGAAGATAATGATCGATCGATTCAAACAGATTTGTAATATAACTACAGGGGATAACTAGTACTTAGTCTAGATTTATTTGATTTACTTTGTATTTCTTATATAAATTTAATAAAGTTACTGGCAGTGCCACATCGTTAAAAAAAAAAAAATAAAATTAGTGCAAAAATCACATGCATACTGTAAGAATTTTTTTCACATTTTTTTAATTTTTCTTTCTTTCAACCAAACGCATCAGCAAAATTATAGGTGTAGTTAATGCAAAATTTTAATGAACTGAGAAGTCAATCAAAAAATTTCTTTTTTTTTCAATTCTAATTTATCATCACGAACTATCATAAAATCATGCCATATAAAAAGGGCTTACGCGTTTTTTTTTACACTTTTGCAATAAAATTAATAAAATTTTCCAATGAAAAATCAATACCCAAATAATATTTCAAAAAAACTGGTTAAAAATCTTCAAAAAAGTTCACCTTTATTTTCTAGACCTTCTCAAGGTTCTTCTTTCCCAAAATTCCACAACAAAGACAACCTTTGCCTTCTAATATTTTACAACAAAATTTATCTTTACTTCTTAAACTTCCGCCTTTATTTCCAAAAGCTAAATCCATCTCTACCTCCTAATTCTTTACAATAAAATTCATTTTTATATTCTCAAATTCTATAACAACCACAAGAAGTTTATAATTATGTAAAGTTTCACAAGATCATTACTCCTTTTTACATTCAGAAACTTCAGAAATAAATTAATTTTATTCAATGGATCCTTATTTTAATTCAGATACAGAAAAAAAGCAATCTTTGTTGACAAAGATTCAACTTTAAATTTTTTTTTTTTAAAAAAAATGAATGTATAATTATTTAAAAATATATAATTAATTATGCACTTAATTTTAGAAAAAAGTCAATAGTAATGATTCTTTGAAAACAAAAAAGAACAAGAAAAGGAAAACATCATCATCAAATGTAGTTTTATTTGAAGAAAGTGCAAAAGAGAATGAATCAAAAATTACTTTTTAATTATATTCAAGAAAATTATTCAGCTTGATCAAGTAGAAGTAAAATTAAATTTTATGAAGCAATAGTTAAAAATGTATTTTTTTCAATATACTGGTGAATAAATTAAAAATAAAATTGGAGTAGATATGATAGTGTAAAACAAAAAAATTTATCAAACAGGTGTAAATAGAACTAATTGGAGATTATATAATCATATGAATAAAAATTTTTGACTATAGAGAAACAATTACATCAAGTTTTTTATTAGATAATACAATGATTAATATTGATTCAATAAATATAAAATAAGAAAAATCTGAAACAAAAAACAAAAAATAACTCTTGGTTTTTTAAATAATGCTATTTTAGCAATGAGTTTATTAAAAGAAAAAATGTAGAAAAAATAATATGAATTACAAGAAAAAAAAAGAAAAAGGATTTAGAAAAGCAAAAATTTGAAGTTGAAAAAGTAAAAGCTCAAGTATAAATAGTTAAACTTAAGTTACAATTTGAATATGAAAGACAATTAGAATATAAATATATATGAATGTATTAAACTAATAATGTTTTATTAATAATAAAAAAATTATAATACATATTTTTCATTATATTATTTTTTTTTTGTTGATCTTCTAATTTTAATATATTATTATTATTATTATTATTACTTTTATTAATAATAATATTTTTTTTCTTTTCATTATCTAAATTTAATTCTTATCTTTTTTCATTAAGTTCTAAAAAATTATGTAAATAATAGCTTAATCAGTAAAAAGAATTAAATATATGAGTTTTTCTTTTTAAATATATAAATTTAAATCTTAGATGATCAAATGCATTTTTAACTATAATTCTAGTGATAAATGCATAATATTAAATATTTTTCTTGCAAATTTGAAGATAAATAAAAAGGAATAATATAAAATAAAAAGATAGAATATGTAGAATTACCAAGTAAAAAATCATCAATAATTAATTATTTTTTTTTTTTTTTTATAAAAACTTAAATTTTTATAAATCTTTGCATCATAAATAGAACCTAACTATTCAATATCATAATTAATAAAAATACTCTGAAAATTTACAATTTTTTGACAATAGATTGAATAACATTTTTTCTATTAAAGTATAATTCTAGTGAGTTAGAAGATTTTTTATTTAAAATAATATGTGTATCATCTATAGCATCAATAACATTTTCAAATTCTTTTATTAATTAAAAATCTCTATATATATGATTTTTTTTTTTCCTTTTGAACATTGAACAAATAAATTTTTTGTGCAATAATAACTTTAATAATTTTTTTTATATATAAAATAACTGTTCCTTCTCTAATATCAAATTTTGAACAAATATTAAAAATATTTGACCTATTTCTAATTCTATACAGAAAAATAGCCAATTGTAATTTTATTAATGCTTTTTTTTTTTTTACTATTTGACTTAAAAATATCATTACTTGAAATTAATTAAACTAATATTTTAAAGCTTTCTGATATTATTCTCAAAATCTTCTTAAAATATTTATCATCATAGGAAGATAAAATTTCATTATACCAATAAGATGATTTTAAAATATTATATTTTCAAAAGTTAAGATGTCTTTATTCTGATAATTTAAGTAAAGAAAAAGTAATAAGATTATTATCTTCAGTTATACTCTCAAAATCAATATCATTTTTAGAATCATTATCACTTTCATTATCAATATTATTCTGAAAATTTGTAAAATAAAAGCATTTTTAATATTATGTAACATTTTTTTATTATATAATATTCTGATTTATAAAAAATACATTAAAGTAGTATATCAACTTTATTCAATTTTATATATCAAAAAATAAAATATAATTGGTTAATCACAAATATATCAAAATTTATATCAACCAATTTTAAATATCCTTAATATTTATATTGCAAAAAAAATCTATATATTATAATATGTGATTTAAATAAAAAATTTACTTTAAAAAATACAGGAAAAGAAAAAAGAAATATCTATTCTAAAGTCTATAATCCACATACAAAACATAATATTTACAATAAATTATAATTTGAAAATTAGCAAAAATTAATAAAATTTATTATATAATATTAAATAAATAAATTAATTAGTTTCTTATCACTGTCTAGTAAAGTTGTTAGATAAAACCTAATAGTTTTGTAAGTTCTTTAAATGAAAAAAAGGTAAAATTTAGTAAAATTATATCTAAACTTTATTAAAAAATCTGTGAAATTCTGAAAAAAGATAAAATTATATCAAAGTTTATAAAAATGCAAAACTATTAAAACTTTAATAAAAAATTAGTAAAACTATAGTTTAGATATTTGCTAAATTTAAAATAAGTTTAACAAGCAACCTTACTGCTTAGTCATGTAAAATATCATGAAAAAAAGTAATATTTTATTTTATTTAGTCATGTAATACCAGCTAGATATAATAATTTTAACTCATAAAAATTTTTATATCTATATATACAATATATTTATATATAGTATTTAGCACTGAATCAAGATTATATTATATATACTGTATATTATTATTATATTATTCATATACTTATAATAAATTATTAATATACTAAAAAAAATAAAAAAACAAATATCAATCTTTTTCACTTTTGTTTACTAGATTAAATATTATTTAATGAAAATTTTAATCTCTACTATTTTAATTAATACATTTGAATCTTTAGTACATATTTTGCAATAAGAATACTATTTTTTAAACATAGAAATTATATTTTCAAGTGAATCACAATTAAAATATATTGGTAAAAAATTAGCTAAATAATAAAGCTTTTCTATTTTATTATAGCATTCTATAGTACTATTTATAAATACTTTAAATAAAATAATTTTTGATTTTTGATTCATATCATCTCGCCAAATATTTGTAGATATATTATCTATTAAAATAAACTTTTTATCTATAATATCTATTTCTTTTTTTAATTTCACATTAGACAAAACATTATTATTATTTATTACTTCTATATTTTATTTTTAAAATAATTTAACTTTAAGATCATTTTCTGCTTTATTATTATAAGTAAAAATATTATTATAAGTATAGGATATAGTATTAAGGATGATATTACAAAAATTTTCTTTTCTTTATTTAAGATTTTTTGAAGGTATATAAAAATTTCAACTTATTACAATCTATATATATTACAGTAATACTTATATTTTTTGCTTTTTATGTATTTTTTATTTATAATATATTCTTATTTCATCTTGCTTACTTTTATTTTAATATCTAATTATGTCTTATATACTTTATGAATTGACAATATAATTTGATAGTATTTGTATTATAAATATTTATTTGCTAGTATTAGATCTAATAAATGATATAATATATTAAATATATATTGAG